GAATCGAAACACATTTATAAGGGAACGAAAAGAAAACATCCAACACATTTATAAATAACATGCCTGCTGCATACAAAGTCCGAATTAAACATCCAACACATCACACACCGATTCCATAATTTAAAAAAAATCCGACAGCCACTCTCAAACATAGGGGAAATAATAAACATAAAACAAACATAGGAGGTAGCAACAATTAAAAGAACAAATGCAGGGTATTAATGAAACATGAGCCATTTCCGGTGACTGAGGCCGTCAAAACCAGGGGCCGTGAGTTGGCGCTGATGGGCCACCCATATTCTGGGACTTCTTGATTCGCAGCCAAGTAATGACGTCTGCGTCCGTCGGAAGCTGCAACAGTATTGCCTGATTTGCCGGATTGTCCATTAGCGACATACCGTAAAGGATTAGTGGGTCTTGCCGGTCCAAGCCTTGTAGGGAGTACAACCTTGCCATACAATTACGAATGCAGTCCGAGGCCGAATCTCCATATTCATGATGCACGCGGACTTCTCGTTGTTGTAATTTAACTGAAGACGCAAGGTTTTCCATGCTACTCGCCAAGAGCGATGCGCCGACACTCTGCCCTTTTTTCCGCTGCGAGTGTGTTGTGCGACTGAATTTGCGTTTGCTCTGGCCACTCGTAGGTGTGTCATCAGCGTGATTTGGCGATGCCGCAGCATGTACACTGACCGGGATGTCCTCCTCTTGCGCAGAACTGTGGTGGACAGTTTGTCCATGCTGCACGGATGGCTGGAAAGGGGGCAAACCACTGCTGTCTTCGCAGTCTTCTTCGTCTACCAGCAACGGATTGTCCTCCGTGGCCACAGGTTCGAACGCTGCCCCTGGTGTCCATGCGAATTTCCCGGTTGCAGTTGCACCTTCGTACACCCTTCGCATTAGCTCCATATGCTCCAACGGTTTCGTTTTGAACTTCAGTGCATTCTTGTCAATCTGGGGAAAACCCAAACACGTAAACATAATGAAGTGAATCAAGGAAGGAGGGTAAACACAACAACAGCCATGGAAGATTCTGTTTATGTTACAGGTTTAGTAAAAAATCAGTTGTTACCAGATTGCATGCATTCTTGCAGTAAAGTTTACAGACTGATTGCCAGATTATGTTCATTGTCTATAAGTATAGATTATAAAGTATAGTTGATTGCTAAATTAAGAACCCAATTGTGAAAGTAGTGCAGGATAAGATAAAATTGTAGAAGTCAGAGATGAAGTCACTAAAAATTCTTCAATATTCATGAATTGAAATTCTGCAGTGGATCTGAAGCAAAAAAAAAAAGGGGGGAAATGCAAGGTAAGACATATTTTCCAAAACTATATCATAGAATGAAGCTTGAAATAAATAACCCCCAATCAATAATGAAACTTTGCAATTTATTGGTATGAAGCAGTTTGCTGTGAATCAGAAACAGAACTTCTAAAAAGCAAAAAATATAAAACCAACATTACTTCTATCCAGTGGCCTTGAAAGCAGATATAGCACGACCATGGATGTTAGGTACATCCAATTCAGGAATGTTAAAAGAGAATAAAAACAAGTTCTAATCTTCAGAGAAACCCCAAAATGTATGTTTACTGGAAGCCCTTGAATTTCAGAGCTATTTCAGAGCCATTTTAGATAATGTAATATATGATAAGAAATTTACTCCGGCTTGTTTTATGACAGTCAGCGGGACAGATTACTTTTTCTGACAGTCAGGAATTTTTATAACTCTCCCACAGGTGTATAATCTCAATTTTTATGTATAGGAAATGATTTAAGGAAAAAATACTTTCTTCAACAAAATGACAATGGTGGAACCCACGTTTTCGTATGCAGAAAAGGAAAATAGTTTTCATATTCGTATTTCTTTCATTTCCTATCAATTAAATGCAGCAAAGAGCCTTATAGAAAAGAAGACATGTACACAATTTTGGAAAAGTAGAGGTGGCACCAATAAGGGAAATACAAATTGAATGTTAAGATTGTTTGCCCATGCTTACGTACCAATGAATCCATTAGCTAGTGAAGTACTGACATTAGCTAATGAAGTGAAGTCAGTCAAGTACTTGGCCACAGAAACTCACAAAGCAGTTAAACAAATTTCACAAAACAGTCATACATAGGGAGGGAGATAGAGAGACTGATAGGCCACTTGGCAAGTATAACAACGGTTGTTGGGGTGAAAAGTCTAACCAAGTTTAGTTCTTGTTTTTGGTCACATTAAAATATGTTTGCAGAATTTTGATAAATATATTGTAACATATATTTAATTTTGCACGTTGGATATTACAAAGAAGATGATGGAATTATTACCTTTTCATAATGGGCCCACCAGTCGTCAGATGCTTGTATCAAACCAGTTGCTTCATTGTAACTTATGCCAGTTGGCCCATGCCTGCTGTCCATCAAGCGTGACCACGACTGCCAATCCTTTTTCAGTGACGCGTACTTGTTTTGCAGTTGCTTCACCTCATGGACCTTATGTGTACGCTCCTCGAAGGCCTTGGCGATAGCCCTGTATCCGTGCATTGTCATTGTATGGAAGCTGCCCTTGAAACCTGAGTCCAACTCTTTGATAACAAGTTGCAAGAACATGCGCACCGTGTCAGAGTCCCAATTTGCTTTGTGAGCTAGTCTGGACTGCGGTTGAGACTGTTTAGCACCACGCTTACGCAAATGTCTCGAAGGTGTGGATGGCGATTGTGACTGCTCCATTGCGGTACTACAATGCAACAGTAATTGTGAAAATGTCAAAAAATTACCATTGGCACAACATGAAAATGGTAAATAGCAATATGTATTTAAGAAATTCCCATCCATCTAGTTAAAACAATTAAAAAAAAAAGTAAGACCATATCTGGATTTCATAGTTTCATGTTCATTCTTGATGCGGTTCTTCTTGTTCATGCCTTCTATATTGTTGGATTACTGCTTTGAAAAGGATTTTCATATATAAACATGCACAGATATATATTCACTGCAGTGATACATCAAATGTAGCCTCTGTTGTGCCTATGTAGCATGGTCCCAGTTAGCTAGTTCAATAGTATGGAGTTCTGCCCATTAAAATTGATTCAGACAGAATCTGATCACCCTACGTACTTGTTCTGTATTTTTAATTTTTTTTGAATCATTCGATATTGGAGCTCTACTGCTATAGTGTATGGTATTTATGCAACTTGCCTATGAGATAATATAGATGCATCATGAATATCCATGGATTCATTTATCCATTCCAAACCAACTTATCCTTGTGGCTTCCATTTAGAAAAGTTGTTATCTACCATTACCAAAAGCTGTCAGTTGTTAATCTGAAATGCTATTCACCTGGAAGATCTTTTAAGCTTTGAACTGTTTATTAAATTGTACTGAATATAACTCTATGAAATGCAATATATATTAGCCGTGACCACGACTGCCAATCCTTTTTCAGTAACGCGTACTTGTTTTGCAGTTGCTTCACATCATGGACCTTATGTGTACGCTCGTCGAAGGCCTTGGCGACAGCCCTATATCCGTGCATTGTCATTGTATGGAAGCTGCCCTTGAAACCATTGTCCAACTCTTTGATGGCAAGTTGCAAGAACATGCGCACCGTGTCAGAGTCCCAATTTGCTTTGTGCACATTTGCGGACTACGGTTGAGACTGTTTACCACCACGCTTACGCAAATGTTTTGAAGGTGTCGACTGCGATTGTGAGTGCTCCATTTCGGTACTACAATGCAACAGTAATTGTGAATATGTCAAAAAGGAACATTGTGACAACATGAAAATGGTAAATAACAATATTTATTTAACAAATTGCCATCCATTTCCTTTTACTTAAAACAATTGCCAATGATATATTTGTCTGTTTGTAGTTTAAATTGCCATCCATTTCCTTTTACTTAAAAACTGCCTATCGTCCTCTTAATGTCATACCCTCTCATACTGGAGCCAACTCCTCTCATACGCTAACGATGCCAGAAACAAGTAACCATTACTGACTCAAGAAATTTCCTTCAAACGTCAAATTTTCAACCTTAAACCTTCTATTGAATCACCAAATACACAGTGATGATGCCCCAATTTGCCCCAATTGTTTTGAAACACTAATCTCCATTTTGTTTTGTAGATGTGTACAACAAGCAAAAAACAAACAGACCTAAATGGTTGACACATATTTCTCAATTTAAAGACCCAACAAACTCAAGCTTTGTGAAATATCCAAACCGAAAATTGTGAACATTACAAGCATAGAAGCCCAACATTACCAGGAGAAAAAAAACAAGAAAAAATTTGTCAAAATATATAATATTTTGTCAATGGGTATGTGAGAAAATGAAAGCTTCACGGAAGAAAAAATCCCCAATACCATCAGACACCCAGGACAAAAAAATCTACAAATTTTTTGAAGGGCTGTGTGGGTCATCTTCACCGACCAAAAAGAGAGAGACCCAGAAGGCTAAAACATCAAACCACGCATATTGTATGATAGAGGGGTTAGGTTATGGGGCAGCCATTAAAGACAAAGGAAATTGGAGGAACAGAGGAGAGAGTGATGAAGAAGGTAAACAAAAGAAAAGGTTGGAAAGTGGAAGTGTGATAGTACAGAGAGTACATGGCGATTCAGGAAAAATCATTGATTTTCTTCGCAACTACCAAATCGTCGAAAATGGGGAAATGTACAGATTTGGTTCACATGCCCAGAATCAGTGGCGTGGAAGAGATGTTACCTTGTTCTTTGGGGGATACGGGCCGAAGTAGTGTAGATCTGGTCGGCGGTGGTGCAGATCTGGACGAGGGATGGTCCTTCCTGTCTGTTACAGTTTCAGGTGATGGCGTCGAGGTCTGCCTTTGGCACGGCTGTGGCGGTGGTGCAAGGTGAAGGGTGTGACGGATCTCCGGCAGTGGGCGGTGTGTCTTCGACGGACTAGACTTGTTCAACCGACTGAGGGATTTGTGAGGTTGGAGAAGGAAAGGGGCTTTCTGATCGTGTATATTCTGTGATATATTCGACTGATGCAATTTCAAAAAGGAAGGGCAGAAACGTAATTTTACCCTCTGCAAAGTCAGACAGGGTTTTGCCGCCCAATCTTCCGAGATAAAGGATCTTTTTGGCTTTTTTGATAACTTTTTGGCTTTTTATCTTATCTAGTAGATGCCAAACAACCCCTAAATTTTGCTACAGATGACAGAAATGTTATTCTAAGTTATGGACCTTGTCAGTTTCCCAGTTCCTTGTTGCTGACATTGACAATAATGGTTGTGTGAGGTAAATACATTGTTTCTTGTTATTTATTTTGGACTGTTTACTTTAAATCCTAACTCTAAGGACTGAGCCTGATATGCATGAGAGTTAGTAATAGCCTATTTATTAATATGTTCAACTCCATTCAGTAGTAAATATTGGTGTGAGAAATTTTATGATGCCTACGAGGATGACGTCAATGTTTATGTAGTAATGGAGTTATGCAAAGGAGGTGAATTATTGGATAGAATACTTTCTAGAGGTGGAAAATACTCGGAAGAAGATGCAAAGGCTGTCATGGTACAGATTTTGAGTGTGGTTGCCTACTGTCATCTCCAAGGTGTAGTTCACCGTGACCTCAAGCCTGAGGTAATGAACTCGGACATTTTCATTATTTTCTTGGTAATTTATAGAACTTAACGTGGAAAATATTACATCTTGTAGCAAGTTCCGGATAGTGTGTTCACACATAACCCTACTAATAGGCTTTAAAACTGTTTTTAACATTTTTCTTCTCATAATCATAAGTTAGTCAAAACATGGGATATAATACACAATTTAAAGAGATCAATAATTCTAAAGCTAACAGACATTAATTTCATCTAATCTAATCCATCCTAACAAATATGTCCTAAATGGACAATGATCTCTAATAGCGTTTCAAAGTTGTTTTCATTCATCTCAAATATGTCCTGCCTTTTATTTTGGCAGAGCTAATGCTTTTTGGACTTGTGTCATTGGTAATGGGTCATTGGATCAATCAAGTGAAAGCGTTGTTACATAATTTTCCCTCTTGTTGGCTGCAGCCAGGAATGGTAACAACTGATCTTCTGTTGTCTGGAGCTTCTACAAAGCAGGTAGAATGTGTATTGCATATTTCCTTGATTTCTTTTGTGAAGCTTTTGGATCAATCAAGTGAAAGCGTTTTATTTATTTCTGGCCAAGTTTTTCATTAATGTTTTGGCACAACCGGCAGAAGTGGTAAGAGTTTATTGATGTGGTGATCTACCTAAGGGAGTGATGTACAAACAGTGTTTTTAATTCCTTGTTTTTGAGTTTTAGGTGCTTGCTTTGTTTCAATAGTCATCTGAATTCATGATTATGGATTGTGATGTTCGATGAAATAAATCATATGGTTAGGTTTTCCAAATAGGCAAATGCACATACAAGACTTAGAGATGGACCGTTTAGACACAACATTCTAGGCTATGATCAACTACTGATTGAATTATGTGTTGAGTGCTCAAATGAATTTGGGAAGAAAAAAAAGAAAACCGGACTTCTGAAGATCATATTCAAATGTGATGTGTAAGTTTTGACCATATTCAACTCGCCTTGTGTGTGCATGCGCCTGTGTGTTTATGCGAGTGAGGGCATGCATGTAGGTAGCAGAGTATCTCGTCCCAAACATCAGATCTGTCCCTGCCAATGGATTGAGCAAGCCCACTTACATTCAATTCTTTACTGGCTTGAAAGCATACTCTCAGATATTCTCAGTTAAGTGGGGAAAAAAAAAATGAAAAGAACTTTTGATTCTTGGTTTTCTATATTTAAATTGTGGTTATTAATCCTTTTGTTTTTTGGTTGTATTGTGTAGAGATTTACTTTTGGTGCTAGGAGGAATCGATATCTGCTTGAAGATTGATGAGGATCAGAGGTCTAATATGTCCATACA